CTGGAAAGGCACAGAGTTTTATTTGGCTGGGTAAGAGCCTTAAATCAGGGGAAAATATTTGTTTTCAAATTTATATTCTCACCATTCCCCAATCGTGCTTTTAATGCAAGACATCGTTTTTAAGCAACACATGAACAGAAATGTGGGAGAGTGTATAGCTCTGTATTGCTGTCCGCATCAAATGCAAATTTCTTCTCCTGGCTTTCAAACCTACCCAGTTTCCTCAGCTCCAACCTGCCTCTACACTTCAAAAGATTTCTTTCTTGAGTTCTGCAACTCTAAATTTCCCTTCAGTCCACCAATATCTTTAGCAAAACTCATGAAGCAATTTTAAAGGCATGCATACTTGTAAGGATCCTCATCAGCCAAATACTGCAGTCAACCGCTATTTTTTCTCTAACAACATCAGTATTCTCCCTTGCCCTTGCCAGGTAACGCTTTAACAAATTCTGCAAAGCCCAGTATACAGAATTTGCAGGATTGGTCTCTTTGAGTATAAATTGTTCTAGAGTGGAAAACTGCACCAGATTCTGTTCTCCATCCAAAAAGAATAGATGACTGTTAATCCACTGATGTAGTTCAGTTATTCTAGACCTTTTCAAATGTTACTGCAATTAAGTTCTAGTATGCTGGTTTAGCTGCTTACATACATAGTCCTATCTACATACATAGTAACACTATGGACCAACAAAAAGTACTGTGTTTGCAAAGACGTACAGATTATGTATGCAGGCATAGTTATGTGGATGTAGTGTGCTGAAACCTGAGGTTTCAGCTTTTCTTTTTGGTCTGTCTATTTTAGAGGATTTTTAAAGACAAGAGTTCTTTTCTGAAGCCCATTACATGTTAGCTTTGCAATCTGTGACAGTCACCTCTGAGCACAGTCCACGGTGCAGAAGCAGTGGGCTGAGGAAAAGTGGGTTTGCAACCCATTCGGTTCTCATACAAAAGCAAGCCATGAAGAGCAGCAGGGCTAACCCAGGCAAAGGCTAAACCTGATCATAAGGAGTAAGGCTAGAAGCAAGTGTTGAGATATCTATCTCTTCCTGTGCTGATGAAAGCAGTTAGAGTAGCTCTTTCCCCAGGAGGAATATTCCCTTTTCTCAATAAGATTCAGAATGAGAAGGCTCAGGATTATAACCTGTTGTTTTCTCCTTCAGATCTTTGTTAAAGAGGGAACACTGATGAAAATCTCTGGCAAGAATAGGCACCCTCGGCATTTGTTCTTGGTAAGATTTCTTTTATATTTTTACTGTCTCTCTTGTATCTTCTCCTGCATTTATGCAGCCCTGAACCCTGGCAGAAACTTTCAGACTGCAAGTCATTTAACCATTAGTAGTGATGTGGTGAGGCATTTTCTGTTGTTAAGGGGGCTGTAGCCCTTTTCACACATGTCCCATCGGCCCTCCATACAGGAATACGGGCTGTGCAGCCCTCCATTTGTGCCACAGCTATGTACAGCCTTGACTACACCATAATTTTGCAAAGGAGTGCAAGTTTCCAGGGAGATCAGGAGGATGGGAGCTCCTGAATACTTTCAGCAATTAAACTTCACACTTGAAAGTCCAACGCAAAGGCCTTAGGAGATCTGATTAGAAGCAACAGAGAACACCCTACCGCTAAAGTTTATGAAAGCTTTCTTTGGACTCACTTGGGAGAGATTTGTATCCTTGAAGCTCAAGGACTGGGTTTTAGTTCCTGCTGTCCACATCTATGTAAATTACCCGATAACTGTGTGCATGGCCTCGGTATAGTCCCTCTGAACACACACCTCCAGCTTCCTGTTGATTAGAGCAACAGTCTTCAATCACAGTTTGCCAAATTCTTCTAAGATAGTTAAGAAAAATGAACCTTTCATCAGTTGGCTGGAATACCCTTCACAAAATTGCAAGTATTTGCAAATCAAAACAGATTTAAAACCACTGTTTTGGAGATACGCTATTAACACTCATGCTCTCTGTTTTGCATTACACGCTACATTGAGCAGCTAGAGACTATCTGAGACTCCAGGCTCCTGAGCTCTGTTCCCAACTTTTCAGGTAGCTTATTGTATAACCACAGGCATTTTTATGCATTTATCGGTATGAAGGGGAAAATAATACTTGCCTATGTCATAGGAGTTTGTTACCTGCTTACCTGTTAATGTTTGAAAAATTCTTTAGAGGTCCTTCCCAGAAAAGAGCTGTAAAGAACTGAGCGTTACTGCTGCTATTAACATTAAAGTACTGTTTGCATAATTTTTTAAAAAATAAATGGCTTATATGCCTGGAATACATTATTTGCTGTAAATGCTGACAGCTTTTCACCCTGGGACCATTGTGAGGAGGAGAGATGGCTTATTACAGAAGTCATACATTCTGCCATTAATTCTTCTTATTTCTCCCTTTTATTAATATTTCCTATTTGTGCATGAATGGATGCACAAGCTTCTTTGCCTCCTCGATCATGTATTGCAGTAATTATCAAAGATCAGTTGGGATGGGACACAGTCCTGGCACTGCACTTTTCTGATGACTTCATTGGTTTCTGTGAAAATTCAGACTTTCATGTACTGAAAGTGATGGATTTCACCCAAATCTTTGAATATGAGATTACTGTAGTGCTGTTTTACTGAGTTGGCATCAATGGACTGTAACAACAGCAATAAATGTCAAAATCATGACTTTGTTGCAGCCAAGTGAAAATGGCCATGCCAGAATCTCCAGGAGCCGGTCTTAAGAAACAGTGTTCTCAGCAGTACTAACTCTGAAGCCTACTGATGACCACTTCATAATAGATGATACTTGCTTCCTTACTGATGTCTCTTCTGAAACACTCACCTTTGCTAGTATTACAAAAACATTTTGGAGTTGTGGCTAAAGCTGGGACGAAATTCCAAGAAGTTGTTACCATTTCATCTTCCAGTGTGTTCGTAACTGCCATCATAATCCACTACTATGGCAAATAGTGAAGTGTCACAAACCTAGCTATTATAACTGATACAGAGAATTTAGAAGCAAGATCAGAAATCAGGTTGGTAATAAACATTGAGAAGAAAGTAATTTAAACCTGGGATAAACTGAGATAAATTTCAAGTAGTCCAAAATGGTTGTATCAGCTTGAAGGTCACAAGAGGCTGAAAGTATTACTGGAACAAAGAAAGCACAGAAATTAGTTTCTGGCACTTTCTAGTTCAGGAACGATTTTTGATTCCTGGGGAGAGTTCAGCTGCTCAAACACGGATGTTAACTGCAAAGAGAGAAGTGTCTCTCGGCAACTGGAGACATTACAGTAGCCAATATCTTGTTGTTAATAGATGCTCTCAGTATTCAGAAACAGCATTTTTTTCTTCCTTTCAGTCAGAAAGGCAAACTATGACCAAACGTGCTGTCATGCAAAGTATGTGGTGGAGCTAGACTAAACCATAGCGGTCACTTTCAAGAACCAAGAGACACATAAAACTGGCTTCTTTCCTGCTCTAACACATAAAGTTGCAACCACTTCAGGCTTCCTGTATTATGTCTCCTGTTGGGGCAGGGCAGGGGTGACTGGATCTTGGAAAAAGTTTGAAACTTATTGGCAAATATCTGCCGAAGAAAACGGTGGTTTTTTTACTCAGTCTCCTCTACCCTGAAAGCTCCTCAGGTTGCAGAGCAATGCCATGTATGGTGAAATTGCAGGAAAGTGAGTCACTGTGGTATATGGTAATTCCTGCATTACCACCTGAATGGTTTTTTATTATCTGCTTGTCACTGCTAATGCTGTGGATTCTCTGTTGTGCCACCACCACTCATGCCACAACCACTCATGCATTGCTTAACGGACTATTTAGCCTGTGGATACATTAAGACAACTACTGCATAGCTATGGCAACGTATTTTCATCTCGGCATATAGCATCCTTACTGCATCAGTCTTAAGGCCCTACCAACCATTACTGCCAACACCTTTTTCTAACAGCCAAGGCCTGCATGAACATATCCTTAAATCTGCCAGTGCATCTAGCCCAACCCAGGTGCTATGTTGATTCTGATGCCTGGGGACACTGTGGAAAAAAAAACCAACCCAAAACCACAAAACCCCAAGACTAGAATAATCTCCTAAACAATGTCTCTTAAAACCCACGTTTATTTAAAGCCCTTATCTTCTAAGGACCATATCATAATCCTTTGAAGCCACTGGCAAAACTTGGGTAGGATAAGAATTTGTCCTAATGTATTAATCAAAAAAACCTTTCAGAACTGGATGTTTTTTTGATGCTTCACATGTCAGCTGTCACTCTAAAAGATCACCAGAAGCTAACATGTATAGGTGTAGTTTGGTTTAGCTTTGGATGAAATAAGTGTATTTACCTTAGCTACCCAAAACAGATTTTTACATGAACAGCATTTTCTGAAGTTCTTAGTAGCGAACTTACTCTGACTGAAGCTAAGGGAAGCCCAGGACCTGGAGAGAATTTCAGTGGAAGAGTATACACTGAACGATAACCCTGAGAATTTAACCCCTACACATCCCAGGAGATGAGCCCACCAAACTAAAGTTGTAGTTAGTATATGCTATAAAAATTGGGTGCGTGCCAGACTCCCACTTGGCCTGTGCGTTCAGGGTGTGCTTTGGTGGTGTGCGTGCTTGTGCTTTGAATATATGCCCATAAGGAGCTTTGTATGTCTGTGCACAGCCCACATAGGCACAAGTGTGCAGGACACACATTTAAGGGCTTTTGATGTGCATATGTTTATGCGGGTGTATGTTGTGTGTATCACAAGGTTACTTGAGCTGACTGTTTTGTGCAGGCTGATGGTATTGTTGAATCTGGTGTTTCCTGGCAGGATGTTTGGTGAGTTTTGCTGTGCGCCTGTTTCCTGAGTCCAGTCTCTGTTTACAAGGATGTTGGGGCCTCTTTGCAGCACAGTATGGACTGCTGACACTGGCAGGCCCCTTAACTGCCCCCCAACCACAGGACTTTGCAACTCAGGCACTCTCTCTTATCTCACCCTTCCAAGAATTTCTCTACAAAGGCTGCTTGTGTTGCAAGTGGGATGCGGGAAGCTGCTATCAAATGGGAGACTGTTTAATGCTCTAGTTGGCAGGGCTGGAGTATAGGAGGTTTTGGAGTCAGAGCTTGGAAAATGCAGCTCCAGCACACATTCAGGCTGCTCCACTGACACTCAGGGGATGTTTAACGGAGACTTGAATAGAACAACACAGAGTTCATAATGAACTACCCTTTAAAACATTCAGAAAAACCAAACATGTGGTAGGAGCTTCTAGACAGAGAGTGCATTGCGTATGGA